ATTGCTTTAACTCAGTGAGCAGCGAGATTGGCCCAACGGGATTTGAATAATGCTCTGTTCTTTTGGGGAGGGTGGGCCTGTGTGAATGCTGGAGTAGTGCTCTACGCTGTCAGTAACCTGAACTGCTGCACTGTGTCCAGAATAGAGGGAGGAGAACATTCTTCCCTTTCACTCTTGTTTTACATTACAATGAACCACTTCTCTTTTCATCTCTTGTCATTACCCATTATGAAATTATTACTTTAATGTGGCTTGTTAGAAAGCGGAGATTACTTTGATCCAGTTTCTTTTTTTAAAAGAGCAGTGATAATAGGCTAATGAATAAGTGAAAATCAGATCATAAAGACACAAGACGAAGCAGTTAGACTGTGCTCGAGTCAGCAGCCCAGCAGATTATGAGGGGAAAAAAAGCCACGCGTAAAGTTACTTTACATCACAAAGGCCTAATTTAGGGACAATTTAGGTGGGATATTGTTGTGACTTGATGATGAGATTCAATTTTATGACTAATTCAAAGGGGGTCACTAGGGCTGCATGATATTGGAAAAAACTCACATTGCAATATTTTGTTTTTCTGCGATACATATATTGCGATATGAAAAAAAAAATCACCAGATGACTTGAATATCTCTATTTGGAAAAAAAAAATCAATGATTGGGGTGATTTTGTAGGTGAGTAAATCAGTATAGAAAATAAACTAATTACGAGCATAGATAAATATAATAGAACAAAGATGCAAATGAAATTAACAGTGCTTTACATTTTTCAGGTAAGTCTAACAGTATTCAGGTACAGAAATTGAATAATCACATGTAAAATAACACTGCAAAGTCTTCACTGTATAAATTAAATCTAATAAATCTGTGTTAAAGCTACAAAATTTTCTCACACATCCATTTTCTTTCTCAGTTGTTTACCTTCACCTAAGCCATAAGTAACTGTTTACAAGGATACTTGCAGAGACATGCATTTTGACATAATTTCGCGCGTATGTGTCATTAATAGACGCGGAAGTGAACGGAATTCAGAGTTCACGTGCATCTGCGTGGTTCTCACTGTGTCCACCAGTGTTAATTTCGTTGACAAATAATTTTCATCATAATTGTCGTTAACGACATTTTTTTCACCGACGATAACGAACTAAAACTCTTTTTGAATGACAAAAACTATGACGTAAATCTATTAACATTTTCGTCAACGAATAAAAACGAGACAAAAATTGTTAGGGAGGGACGATTTGGGAAGAGATTAATTCAGAACGAACCTGCTGCGTGGCTCGGAGGTTATGCGTACATATGAACCGGCGGGACATAAGCTAACATACACTTGCTGCACGTCGCATAAAACATTAAAAAATGTCAATATGTGGGAGTAAGAGAAGAGCAGACATATGGATAAATCTGACGAAAAGAATGCATAATTAGCCTATATAACCATTGGTATTTCATTAAAAAGTAGACTATGTTCTTGTTCTTTGTGAGAAGTGGTTTTATTTAATTTTAACATAAAGGCATGTTGTGTGTCACAACAGTTAAATCTGTGTCTATCATGATAAAACCTTAATATCAAACCCATATAATGAGTTTGAAAATTTTAGAGAAATGCTTAATAAATGCATTACACTGTAACTAAATAACATTTTCGTCAACGAATAAAAACGAGACAAAAATTGTTAGGGAGGGACGATTTGGGAAGAGATTAATTCAGAACGAACCTGCTGCGTGGCTCGGAGGTTATGCGTACATATGAACCGGCGGGACATAAGGTAACATACACTTGCTGCACGTCGCATAAAACATTAAAAAAATGTCCTGACCGGTTTTCTGAGCGTAGACTCTGAAGCATAGGCTACACACAAAAAGCGTGTCTCACAGCGCGAGTACTCTTTTGCGTCGCATGAACGGAGAATTACACACAAAACGATGTCGAATTGTCCGTTTTGACGAGTATTCACGTAAACACAGTTGATTAAATCTTAAGTGAACGTAAACAGTAGGGAGAACGTGCGTCAGTACATTGCATCCATTGCAGCTGTGCATTCGGTTTTAAAGGGA